GAACCAAAGGTTGTTGTGTGATTGTGTTTTGTGTGACATTTTGGCGTAAACTGCTCTTCTGCTGCTTTTTGCCCCGCGTCAGCAGGGGCTTGTCTGCTGCGACTGAAATCCAATGCGTAGAGCGGCGGCGCAATTTGTGTTTCACAGCAGCCTGGCCCGGCGGCGCGGCCGTGTCATGTTGTCAGACAGCCTCTCGTTCTGCCCTATAATTGTCGCACTTTGTGAGGGGAGCCCGTTTTTTACCATTTCCATACGTGTATCGTTGTTTGTTATTGTTTTCGCGACACGCCTGCGCGACCCCTGCTGCTGGTGGAATGCACGACCCCAGCTGTTTTATGAGTTGCTCTAATTGCACACAAAGGCAGCAGCGGTGCTCGCGGTCGCGCGTTTTGACTTGCTGACAAATGTATTTGGCGGAAACAGGCTGCACGGTGCGAAATTCCCTGCACAGGTCCGCCACCTGCGACGAGCCTTTGTCGCCGTTATTATTATTCGATTCTCCACTCCGGGTGGCGCGGCAGTGCGCCGTTGACGAGCTCGCCACCGGCCGGCGGTGACCGTCGCCCCCACACCCCGCACGCCCCGGTGCTGGAGCTCGCTTTGACCAATCACCTTACCCTGTCTCTGCGGCGGCCAGGGCGCGTCGCCCGACGGGGTCAGCACGGTGTGACAGAGGGTGGACAAGGCGCCGCGCCCCGCGCCTATTGACGGGTTAATTGGTTTCCAATTGGTCCGTGATTAATGGCTGCGGGAGAGCAGGCCAGGCCGCAGGCCGCCCAGTAATTGGTTAACGATGTCACCGCGCCGTAAGGTGGCGCCGCGTGCCTCAAAACATTTCGAGCAGTGACGTTCAGGTTCCGCCCAAATTTCTTGTTTGTGTGTCGGTCAGTTTTTTTCACTTTTTTCCCCCATTTTTTGTTGTCTTTTACACCTGGACATGTCTTGGATGAAACTGGGCTCCTATACTCCCAAAATGTGTGACCCACTTTTTCGTAAGTTTTCCACAATTTTTTTTTTTCGCGAATTTGCGCGAGTCTTTTCAAGTTAAGCTCGAGCAAGTGTACAACAAGTTGGCTAGTGGGGGACGCATCGACTTTAGCTCACCCCCTGAATCATTGGCATGTCGCCTCTCCCCGGGGTGATTTCAATACCATTATCGCAGTATCGTGATTACCGATTGGACTTCTTGTCCTCGCGGGGGGCGTGGCCGGGCGTGGCGTTGCGCGGGGTGGTGCTAACAAGCAGGCAGGGTGCCGCCGGCTGGGGCCGGACTGACACGCGCGGCCGGGGGCTGGGAGACGGCGTTGGTGGTGCGGCCGTGCGTGCGCATCAGCTGGGCCGCGACGGCGCCGCTGCCACGCCAGCAGCAGCAGGAGATTCACTGTGCGCTTAATCCTGGCCGCAGCCACCCCTATCATCACCCCCTTCACTTGCCGCGCCCTCTAATTTTTCTCCCTGCCGCCCCCACCCCCTCCTCAGCCACCCCCTGATTGTATCAATAATCAAGTGTGCGGTGGAAGCGACTCCCTCCCCGCGGCCTCCACCACCGCCGTCTCCGCACTTCAGCCACCTCCAGCTGCCGGGTGAAATGTTGCAGCCTCTCACTCACCGCCCCCCGCGCCCTCCCCGCGGCTCAGCCCCTAG